AAAAAAACAGTTTTGTAGAGTTGTGCAGAATTAATTGGCATCATTCGCTGTTGTCAATCAAAATTAGTGACCCTGTTTATTTATTTTAAAACTTGTCTTTATTCACACAGAAGAGAAAATATTAAAATTTAGGAAAACCCAGAATTTAGACCTTCCTTTTAAAAAATTGCATTTAAAGGAGTTTAATTACAAAAATTTACAAAACCATAGCACTGAAGTAATGAAAATACTAGCAAATATATTCATAAATCTAACCAGTGCACAGCCTTAACCATTTATCACAACAGCTTTATTTCTCATCAAAAACAAAGAGTGTATTTTCAAGAGTAATCTAAAATTAGAACAAACAACTCATCTGAAAAAGACACAGGGATCATTCATATGTAGACATGATTTTAGATCATCCCAACTAACTATAACTGCAAATACACATTTTGCTATAAATCAGCACAGTATTTTATCATTTTTTGGCTATATCATCATGGAATTCATAGATAAAACATACATAGTTACTTAACATTTTCATACCAATGCCTATGATACACTAATTACATTTCATAAATACTGTACTTAATACATGAATCAACTGATCTCTCACTTAAAAAGCACTAATGAAAGCATATAAAGGTATACATGAACATCACTGAACCTGGCTGAACATTGAACAACAGAACTAAGATGCTGCACAGTGGGAAAAAAATTACTGCATTTGTTTAATTAAGAAAATTAGTAATTTTTCCTTCAGTATTTACTTGTTAAACTTTTGAATGTTCCTTGTAATGCGGTAGATATTTACATGGACACCTGCCAACCTCATCAATCAGCAATTGATTTGTGACTTTTTAATACTGTGTCTTAATGTACATCTAATTCAAGTTCTTTGCATTATTATTAAAATCTTATATTGTTTTCCTGAGGAAAGCTGCTTTTTGCCTGGTACATAAAATTTATTTTAAACCTAAGTCTCTGGTTTGGCTTCAATCCCAGAATATCCCGATTTCTAAACGAACTGCAAAGTGGATCATATGGGTATCATGATTAAAAAGCTGCAGTCTTCACCGTGTATCCTGCACCATATTAATCCCTGTTATAGCTCCATTTATTTCATTGGAGTTACATTTCTTATTTTAATATACTTGCCATGTTTGGTCTCACTACAAAATATGAAAATGGCATACTTAAAATGAAGCACTGTACTGACACAAGTTTCATTACTTCAGACCTGGTCCTGGACACTAATAACATCATAAATGATCATATATTACAGTTGGGTTTGAAACTGAAACATGCTTCAAGTAAGTTGAGTAATTTCCCAGTAGGGGAAGGACGAGTACATGAGTACATGCTTTTAATCACCCTTAATCAGGTAACACTTTTTAAAAGCAGTAGTATCAAATGTTCTTTCATAAGGCTCTTTGCTATGGTAAAGCACATTCTAAAGATACACCTGTCTCAGTCCCCATAAGCCTTGTCTGGTGCCAAGAGAAAATAGCCCATAGACTTTAAGATTAGACAAAGGTTTCCATAGAGGAATAAGGGTTTTCCCTTCATTTTTTCTCCTTGAACTATTGAACATTGAGGTGCTTTGACCAAACTTTCCAGCACTGTTTACCTTCAGACAGCAACTATACCTGGAGCACTTCAGCTCTAAGTTTCAGAAAATTGCAAACAGCACCAAACAGGAACTTTAATGTTTCATAATTGCTTCCACTCTACAAGAGAGATTGCAGCTGGTTTATCAGAGACCTCTTTGCTAATGTCTTCTGGAAACCACTCTCTTTTCTATCGATCAGAACTAAATATTGTTTATAGTTTTTACAGGCTGAATTAAGCTTCTGCTTCCATTATAAATCATCAACTTTTTTCATTGGTCATTCTGTTTCTTTGTGGTTTATCTGAGAAATTAGTTTTACAAACTGTTCTGCTACAATAAAAATAGCATTTATATTCTAAAGCAGTATTTCTCTTTGGAGGCAGAAATACAAGATCATCCTAATCCTATTCTGGTTTGGGGGATCTGGTGGAATCTCTAGCACTAGTTCTCAAATTCCTTGTTGTACAGTTGTTCAGCTGAGTATCTCCTGACCAGCAGTCTGATTCTTTGTTTGAATGACTAAAACCAGAAGTAAGGCTTTGTAGGTCTTTTCTGACAGAAGATAATCTCACCTGTTAACTTTCTGAGATCACAGTCAGGGTTGGGAAGTAAGAAGGCACATACTGAAAAAAGTAGAACAGCTCTCAGCATGTCAAAGCACAGAGATTTGTCTCAGAAGGTGGTTGGCGATTTGTAAAATGTCAGGTTATTTCAGGTGCCTCACTAAAGTGTGTAGCTATTTTGACAAGTGGGTGCAGGTAAGACGTGGGGAAAAATCCTTCAGAGTGAACAGTCTGTGCCAAAAAAAAAAAAAAAAAAGACTAGATTTAGTATCTAGATTAAGGCAAACACAAAATATCAGCATGCCTTGTGCCAAGGAGCAGAGAAAAAGGAGACACAGGAAAACACAGCAACACAAGTTACTTTAATTGGGCAAATGCATTTCTAAATTTTTTTTTTCCTGTTTGCTGTACAAAAAATGTTGATGCAGCATATTCAACACTGCTATAAACACTGCCTGTTACCAGGCATATTGATTGCATCAGGTTTTACTTATTGTAGGCACCATGGCAAATGCGTCAAACTTTGAAGAATGACGTGTTACTGGTTAATGGATAAATTGCGGTGAGAAGAGGGACCAAATGGTCTGGAGAACAGCGCCTGAATAGGCCAAATGGGGAACTCCAGCTATCAGCAGTCATGCCACTGACTTTAACAGTTGAGACACAAAGTTTCTGCCTTGAGCAGAAACTGGGAAATTAAGTTTGATTTCAAACAAATAGCATATAAAGAGGGCTGAGTTCCAGATGAAAACCAAAGTCCTCCATAACTGGGCCCTGGTTAAGATTCTCGTGAAACTAAGTATCTATTATACTACTCATCCTCTGTTTAAGATCTTTCTGGACTGAATTCTTTCACAGAGGAGAACTCTTTCTTCATCCCAGTACTTCCCATTTCAAATCCTTATCAACACCTGTCCCCCCAAACAACTCATACCAGGATTTTGTAACATTTATAAACCATACTCCTTACCCCCTCCCTAATCTTAACTGTGGGCTGACCTTAGCCAAAGACCCCAAACCATGGCCAAGATGGAAAAATTCTCAGGGGAGAATTCTTCATGATGCACAAACTTGCCCTTGGTAGCCCTTTTGCAGCCCCACCACAACAGGACCCTTCAGCTTCCTCTCTCTTCTAATCCTAACCCTAGAAGTGGCTAGGTAGCCCTTAAGTCCAGAAAACCCAAACTGTGGCACAGATGAACAAGTTCTCAGGAGAACTGGTTTGGCAGCCCGCACCTCCCCTCAGCAGCCTGTCCGCAGCCCCGCTTCATCTACATCCCTAGGCTTTGTCTCTCTTTGAACCGTAACGCTAGAAGGGCTTACACCTTTAACATCAGGCAGCCCCAAATGGTCCTGAGAATTCCTTCTGGCAGCTCAGACCTTCCCTCAGCAGCCCCACTCCAGCTAGGCCCCTAGGAACTGTCTCTCTCCTCACCCCAAATGTGCCCAGGGCCTTAACCCCAGGTAAACACACACATGGGCCTGATGAAAGTCTTTGAGGGTCATTCTTCCACAGACCAAACTGTCCCTAGGCAGCCCCTTTGCAGATCCAACACAACTAGACCTCTAGGAACTGTCTCTCTTCTAACCCTAAAATTGCCCAGAACCCACTTTCTTGCAGCCCAAACCTTCCCCTTGCCAGCTTCTTTGCAGTCCCACTTCACCTAGATCCCTAAGCTTTGTCTCTCTCTGAATTCAAACCCTAGCCTTAACCCAAGGCACACGCTGAGCCTTACCCTAAGACCTCAAATAAAATTTAAAATGGCCAAAATAAAAATTTGGTTAGGAAAACATCTTTGCGGCTAAACTTCCCTTTGCAGCTTCATTGCATATATGCCACTTGGGTTTGTCTCTCATACATCTAATGTGGGCTGACGATACAATGACCTCGAGCCACGGGCAAGAAGAAAAAGTCCTGAGGGAAGGATTCTCTTTGCAGCCCAAACCTTCCCTTGCCGGTCCATTTACTACCCGCCTTCACCTGGGCCCCTCCGCTTTCTCTTTCTTATCCATTAACCTTATGAGCAGCCTTAAGCCACGACAGCTCCAGCTATGACCTGCTCTCAGTTGAGCAAGCCCTCAAGCAAGAAGCTCCCAGCTGAGCAAGCCCCCAGCCTTACCCCTTCCCTCTCAAAGAGGGAAGATTCAACACCGTCTCTGTGGGTGTCCCGGTACCTACCCAATGCCAAGAGCTGGCCGATGGCAACTGCCCTTCACCAGAGGAAGGAATCAAGCCTTGATGTGGCTTGTATTGTCTGAACTCTTGATCCTTCAGGCTGCCAGCACCACAGGCTGTTCTTGACTTCAGATTTATCCTAGCACACCTGTAGTCTCTGCTGGCCAAATGCTAGCTTACTTGTTGAAATACTACGATTTTGACACACTTCTGAATAGCAGTGCAATTGCAATCGGGCGGTAGCTTTAGAAAGCAAAGTAACAGCACCGCCGTCGCTATCTTTTGGCCTTGGCCAGAACCGGTTGCCACTGGAGGCCCGTGAGCGG